GTCCACTCAGGCAATGTCAGATAGCTGGTTTTGGCCCGATCCCCACAGGCCCAATCCAGACAGGAGGAAGCCCGATCCTGTGCATGAGCATCTGTCCCCTGGTGGTCAGTGCATGTGTTAGCAACCGGTTGACCAGTCATTCAGTTGTTTAGGCTTTTATACATATAAATTACTAAGTGAAAAGTCCATCTGAATATGCTACATACCATATAATTCCAACTAAATAACATGATGGAAAAGATAAAACTATGAAGACAGTAAAAAGATCAGTGGTAGCCAGGGGCTGACAGTAGGGAGAAATGAATAGGTGTCGCACAGAAGACTTTAGAGCAGTGAAAACACTGTATGATACTATAATGGAAGATACATGTCATTATACATTTGTCCAAACCCATAGAATATACACCAGAATGAACTTTAGTGTAATCTGTGGGTTTGGGGTGATCATTATGTGTCAGTGAAGGTTCACCAACTGTAACAAATGTACCAGTCTGGTGGGAGATGTTGATAATGGAGAAGACTGTGTATGTGTGGAGGAGATGGGGTATATGGGAAATCTCTGTACCTTCCTCTCAACTTTGCTTTGAAGCTAAAACTGCTCTAAGTAAAAGTCTTTTTAAAAAATCATACGGCCCTGACCGGTTTGGCTCAGTGGATAGAGCGTCGGCCTGCGGACTCAAGGGTCCCAGGTTCGATTCCAGTCAAGAGCATTTACCTTGGTTGCGGGCGCATCCCCAGTAGGGGGTGTGCAGGAGGCAGCTGATTGATGTTTGTCTCTCATCGATGTTTCTAACTCTCTATCCCTCTCCCTTCCTCTCTGTAAAAAATCAATAAAAATATTTAAAAAATCATACAGATCAGAGGTTGAACTTATAGCATTAATCTATGTTCACAGTCTCATACATTTCAAATCAAAATAAAGTAGTCTAATAGGTGATATAAAACCAGAGACCAGGTGCATGAATTCATGTAATCGGGGGTGGGGGGTGCCTCAGCCTGGCCTGCACCCTCTTGCAGTCTGGGAACCCTCGGGGGCTGTCCACCGATGGCTTAGGCCCACTCTCCTGAGCAGTCAGACATCTGTAGCACTGCCGTGGAGGCAGGAGAGGCTCCCACCACTGCCACTGTGCTTGCCAGCCGTGAGCCTGGCTCAGGGCTTCTAGCTGAGCAGCGTTCCCCCTGTGGGAGTGCACTGACCACCAGGGGGTTGCTCCTGAATTGAGCATCTGCCCCCTGGTGGTCAGTGTGCATCATAGCAACCAGTCATTCCCCATTGGTAAATTTGCATGTTAGCCTTTTATTATATAAGATAATATCAGCTATCATTTATATTCATATTTAAAATGTCCATGTGAATGAACTTGAAATGTCTGGCTACACTCTTAGTTTTAATAAGCAGAGGCATTGGCCTAACCGGTTTGGCTCAGTGGATAGAGCATCGGCCTGTGGACTGAAGGGTCCCAGGTTCAATTCCAGTCAAGGGCATGTACCTTGGTTGCAGGCACATGCCCAGTAGGGGGTGTGCAGGAGGCAGGTGATCAATGTTTCTCTCTCATAGATGTTTCTAACTCTCTATCCCTCTCCCTTCCTCTCTGAAAAAAAAAATCAATAAAATACATTTAAAAAAAAAAAAAGCAGAGGCACAAAACCCAGAAACTCAAAATAAAAATATATAAACAAATAAAATAGAAGCATAGAGCCTGCCAGATAATCTTGTTTCTCACCAGACCTCTTTGCTGTGCTGAATTTATTGCTTTGGTTGATCAAGGTTAAACTGTTCTACTCGCACATATATGAGAAATCAGTATCACAGTTAGGTCACATTCAAGACACAGCCTTATTCAGTGTGTTTGAATATATGGTATAAGTATGCACATATGCAAAATTCATGGTAATCGAAAGGTTTCCATAGCAATAGAAATTAAAATCTCCCATCTCAGATTGTAAAAAAATAATAATAATCTGAAGGCAATAAGACAACCAGTTCAATTAACTTTTACAAAGCACCTACTATGTGGAAAGATGCTGAGTAGTGATACTATATCCCATGAAGGGGCAAAAGGAGGGAGGGGTCGCTATACCAACACTTGGAATAGATGTTTGCTTATTGCAAAGTACTCCTTTATTATGGGACATTGGGGTGGGGACAAAGTTCTGCTGACCCAAGTACTATAAAAATTGTTTCTCAGAAAACTAATGTTGCACAAAATTCAATTTTTAATGATCATTGTCTACCAGCAGCTTACAATCAAGAGCCAGTTCAAACAGGTGTAAGAAAATCAGAGACAATATAAAACATTTATCCTAATGACAATCTTGGTTTGAATATCAGAATTTAGTAGGGAGTGGGGATGGAATATAAATAAATCAGCACTACAGGGAAGTTAGAGAATGGGGACAAAGTGTTAATAAGTTAAAGATTTTTTTTAATTAAGAACTATGTCTCCCCAACCTTGCTTAGTCTTGAGTGGATCATCTTATTCAACTGGAGCCATCGAATAAAGATTATTTTGAGGAGCAACCAAAAATTGTGGGCCTACATGAGGTTCAAAGGGTGATTGTTTCTCCCTTTTTTCTGACAGCTAAGTGTTAAGAGAATTATAAAATGATTTTATATTGCATATCCATCAAGGTCTACATCTTTTTTTTTTCCACTTGTGGACATTTTAATGAACTTCTCTCCATGTAGCTTCAAGCTACCCGGACACAGGCCTCACCAACGCCCTTAATCTTCTCCTCAGCTCTTCTGCTAAAGAATTTGGCCTTCACCATGACAGGCTGCTTTGGGAGCTTTCCCTTCTCCAGAACTTTGAAGCAGCCCAATCGCACCACATCGATGATAGGAGCAGCTCCAGTCTTGTTTTTGGCATTTACCGAGTTTGCTCACTGACCAAGGTCCATAGTTTATCTAGCTTGACAGTTGGGCAGAAACTCTAGTTCCTCTTTAAGTGGTAATGCTTCATACCAAGTTTCCCAAAGTAGCCTGGGTGATATTGGTCAAAGTTGATCCCGTGATGATGCAAGCCACCAGCATTAGCTCGGCCCCCGGGGTGCTTCCTGTGCTTGCCGATGCAGCTCTGGCCATGGCTCACGTAGCCCTGAAGTTCCCAGGTCTTCCTCGGTCTGGATGGCATGTCGGTGGCTGAGATGCCAGGGGGAGGCTCTTTCAAAGTCTCGAGGTCTACATCTTGAGCAGAAATGTTTATTTTCACATAAGGAACCTAAAGGTGAGAAAGTGGTCTTACACAGTGGAGATCAGGTGACTTTCCATGGCAACTGTGAAGATGGCCATGCATCTTCATGCAATGTAAAGGACCAGAGAACACTCCATGGCAAACAGGCTACCAAGCCATGCTCTATTGCAGGGGTGGGCAAACTTTTTGACTCGAGGGCCACAATGGGTTCTTAAACTGGACCGGAGGGCCGGAACAAAAGCATGGATGGAGTGTTTGTGTGAACTAATATAAATTCAAAGTAAACATCATTACATAAAAGGGTATGGTCTTTTTTTTTCAACAGTTTTATTCATTTCAAACGGGCAGGATCTGGCCCATGGGCCGTAGTTTGCCCACGGCTGCTCTAGAGCTACTGTCCAAAGGGTAGCTTCAAGCCACATGTGATGATCTAAATTTAATCAACATTAAATAGCATTAAAGAAAAGTCGTCTATTGGCACCAATTATACCAGGTATTCTACCCTTACGTGAAAAATCAGCAACAGGATATGATTTATTATAAGACTTATTACAGTTCAAAAAATTCAATTACAGAATCTAGATTGGCATATGAATGTTCATTTTATAATTGTCTGAAAATTTTCATAACACAATGTTGAAAAAAACGTCTTCTAATAAACTCAGTTACACTAGACAAATCTCAAGTACTCAGTAGCCACATGTAGTAGCTAGTGGCCACTAATGGACTGCACAGTCACAGAATATTTCTATAATCTCAAAGAAGTTTACTGGACAGAGTTGCTCTCGTCTAGCTGCTCAGGAGCCCAGGCAAGACTGCTGAGACTAATTCTTCACCTTAAGGTCAGGCCCGAGTGGTCCCGGGGCAGGTGGTTCATACTAACAGGACCACACATTTCTAAAGAGTAACGGAATACTAGGGCATGGCTACTGACAGGAGAAGAAATGAAAGGTCAGGTCTATTAGGCAAAGGTTGAAGAGAACTAGGAAATATGAGTGGGACCTGTGCTCATTGGGAGTTAAAATATAAATATATAGGTACACATTTAAGTCTAAATTTTTAATAATTTTTAAGCTAAGAACTCATTTTGTTCCCACAAAGATACAAAATATGTATTTGTGAAATAAGGAATAAGAGCATAATACAAGATAACTTGGTATACTGACTTTACCTTTGTAATCCTTGAGGAAATCACTGCTTTTACCAAAAACATTTACATGTGAATAATCCCTAAGAATCTGTGATAAATGTAAAAAAACAAACAAACAAAAAAACCCAGAGTCTTCTGTGAACAACCTCTATAATTACCAAAATCTTAAATCCCATCAGGTATGGAAGAAATAAGGGAAGATCTACAATTGCCTTTATCTTTTTTTTTTTAATTTTTTTGCCTATAATGTGCCTGATACCTTTATTCTGGATACATATTCCTACCTGAAAGAATTTCTGCCAACACATGTGCCTCCTACAACAATTTTTATTATCTTTAAATGGCAAGAGACACAGTCTCCTGAAAGAAAGCACTCTCCATCCAGGTTTGGTAAGTTTTATTGAAGCAAAATTTCAGCAAAAAGTGGCTTTTATTTACAGAATTCAATGCGTGTGGGGACTGTCCAACCCTCTTGGATACAAGTAAAAATAGGCATTAAGCCTGTTTATGTATTTTCTTATTTTCAGTTTGCATTAAAAAAAAATCTGTTTGCTTCACATTCATAGAAATCCCAATATTATAAATGACAAATAAACCCTCCCTTACTCATCCCTTAATTAAATATAAAAATAGCTACAAAAAGTATAATTCAGATAGGTTTAATCTTGAAATGTAATCCAATAAGACTAAAAACTAAACATTTCAGGTCTTGTACCAAATAGTAAAATACTCGAAGGCCTTCAGGATCCCTAAAATTAAAAGAGATAAAAGTTACTTTTTGTTCCTAAAATGCAACAACGTAATTCTATAAATTAATTCCTAAAACAAAACAATAATCTAAAACAAATTAAAGGAATGCATCTTTTCTGTAGAGAAAAAATAAAAAATTTTCTTTACCAGTATTTCATATTTAAAGTGTTTATTTTCTTATAATAGCAATGCATCACAAAAATGTATAAAGCAGATAAAATTATAAAAATATAAAAAGTAATGTTCAAAATACTATATAATGTCACTTTTCACAGAATAACTGTAAACATTTTGGTGTTTCTCTATTTTTTTTACTAATTAAAATAATCCCTGTGCCCTTTTTTATTGTTGTTAATCCTCACCTGAGGATATTTTTCCATTGATTTTTAGAGAGTGGAAGGATGGGGAGAGACAGAGAGAAACATGGATGTGAGAGAGAGACTCCCACACATGCCTGACCAAGGCCAGGGATTAAGCCTGCAACCAAGGTACGTGTCCTCGATCAGAATCAAACCCTGTACCCACAGTCCATAGGCCAAAGCTCTATCCAATGAGCTAAACAAGCTAGGGAAATTATTCCCTGTGCCCTTTTTAATATTACATTCCCCATTACATTAAAAAGAACTCACAAATAATTTTTAATCAATTTAACAGTTCTCTCCTTATTAGACATTTGGACATTTTTCCAACTATAAATAAGGGTTCAATGACCATCTTTATGAATAATAAAGCTTTTTCATTATCCTATATAAAATCCTAATATGCAAATCGACCAAATGATGGAACAACCGGTGGGTATGATGCGCACTGACCACCAGCGGGCAGACGCTCAATGCAGAAGCTGCCCCCTGGTGGTTAATGCACTCCACTGCAGGTGGGCAGTAAAGGAGCAAGGGGTCCTGGACTGCAAGAGCCCCAGACTGCAAGAGGGATGTCTGCCTGCTGGCTTAGGCCCAATCCCCATGGGGAGAGGGCCTAAGCCAGCAGGCAGACATCCCCCAAGGGGTCCCAGACTGTGAGAGGGTGCAGGCCAGGCTGAGGGACCACTCCCCGCCCCCGCCACCGATTGCATGAATTTCATGCACTGAGCTTCTAGTTTGAGAATATTTTCGCAGAATAGACACTCAGAAATGAAATTACTACAGTGAAGATGGGTGAAAATTTAACAAAATATTGATGGCTTTTGTAGCAAATTATCAAATTGCTTTCTAAAAAACATGTACCAATTTATAATCCCAGTAGGGTATGAATGCCATACCCTCACCAACTATGGAAAAATAAATTTGATAATTTAAAAGTATCTGGTCAGTCTTTATGAACATAGCCTTTTATACCCAATAGTAATTAGGCATTCATTCCTCTCTCCTCTAATAAATATTCATAAAGTCTCTATTTGTGCCAGGCACTGTGCTAATTTTGGAAATACACAAGGTTCTCGTGGAGTTTATATACAAACCAGTAAAGCAAACAAATAAGTTATTACAATTTAGAGTGATAGGGAAAAAAGGACACCAGGAGGACATTTTAAAGGTAAAGGGTGAAAAAAATAAAATTAAATTAAAGGTAAAGAGTGGAAAGAAATAAATGCAGAGGGATTTTTTAGTCAAAAACAGGCAGGGAAACACAACTTGGGAAAACATACCTAGCTAAAGCCATTAAGCTATCCTGGATTTTTTTTTTTATTCATCTGAAGACTAACTCCAAGGAGGAGAATGATGTGATGTGGAGCAAAGGAGGCTGATAAGCAATAACAATTTCTTTTAAATTTTGTGAGTGTCCAGATTTTTTTACAAAGTAGGTAATAAAATTTGGGCATTATTATTCATAGTTATCAGATTAAGATTTTTTTGTGTAAATCAATAAATACACTGCTACCTTCTTTGACAGCAAGTCTTTAATGACATCAAAATCAGAATTTCATCTGTATAATAAACAGATAGGGTGCCAATAAAATAATCTTAGCAAACTCGCTATAGTTCTAAAATAAACCCCTCTAATAAATTTT